CGTCGTAAGCGATGGTGTGAAGGAGTTTCTCATCGAGAGCATGGTAATCCAAGAGCTGAGACATAGTGAATTTGGGAGAAGAAAGATTGTGATTGTGATTGTGATTGCGATTGAAGGTAGAGAGTGGTGAGAAATAAGGGAAGGTGGTGGATTTATAAGGAAGTCTCATAGCATGCGACGCAATTAAAGCCCGCGCCCATATTTTACTTTTCGATTTCCTTATTTCATTTACCTTTTTCTCTTCTTTTCTTATTATGGAAAGGAAGAATATGCACAACTTATGCCTTTTACTGACAGTGCCTTGTCCTACCTTTTATCTACGTTTCCTTCACAGGACGCCAACGAGTAGTGAAAGATATTCATGGATTTTTTTATATATATATTTTATATGTATTTTTTAAAGTATCTTTAGGTATTCATGGATTATGTTAACATGCAAAATTTTAAACTAAAAAGTAAGAAATAAAAATAAATAATTTAAAAAACATATATTTATATTAAAAAATATTTTTGTAAGGTGTATTTGTACTAAAATATTTAATATTTATAGTAAAAATTAATTAAATCACATTATTTTAATATTAATTATAAAATCAAATTATACATAATTACCTTATTTATATAAAAATAATAAATAAAATACTTAATTAAATTATGTATTTAAAAATATTTTAATTATCTTAATTTAAAATATTGTTTAATAATTTATATTTTGTTACCAATTTTAATAAGCTAGTCTAAGATATTAATTTTTTTTACCCTTACTAATTTATTTGAAATCACTTTTATTTTAAATAAATAAATGTATTTTTATGTCATTTTATATTTATCAGCTAGTTAATTTTGTCAAATAATTTTAATTTAATAATTTTTTATAAATTTTTAGATTTTTAACTCTTATGAAATGTTTGGTAAAAGATAATTTTTTAGTTCTCTAAAAATCTTAGACTATATAAATATTAGCTTCTCACATTTAGTATCTATTTTATAAATAAAAAATTCTAAAAAATATTATTTTTAAAAATATTTTTATCTCACATTCTATAAAATATTTCCATGAAAAATTGAAAATCTAACTTTTTCAATTTGGGAAAAAGGATTTAATTATGTAAAAGACTACAATATCTTTTTTTAAAAGATAAAAATATATAGTCGAGTTTTATTTTTTTAAAATATCTCTCTCACTCTCTCTCCCTCTCCCTCTCTTTATCTTTATCTCTCTCCCTCCCCATTTTTATATCTATTTCTCTCTCTTTTATCTCATTAATTTTTAATCTTATCAATTTTAATAATATTATTAAAATTTGTTTTACCTTTATAATTTAATGATATTTATTAACACTTTATTTTTTTTAAAATTAAATAAAATAACATATTTTATCCTTTTAAATTATAAAATAATATTTTTTTTAATTATGTATTTAAATAATTTTAATTATAATTTTTCAACTTTTAAAAATAGTTTAAGTTTTATCAAATAAAAATATTATTATATATAAAATTTGTCTATATGTGGAATTAATTTTTTATTATCTTCAAAAAGTAATTAGATCATAAAAAATATAATGTCATATTTGTAATAATATTGGAGTAAATAAATATGTATAATGAGATTATTTTAATAAAAAATATTTATATACACTCAGAAATATACCATTATAACCAAATGTAAATTTTTTTTCTAAGAATCCTATATAAATATTCTCAAAAACTTTTATCAATAACTAAACAGATTAATTATAACTATTATTATGAATCATGATTTTTGGGTATGAAAAGAGTTTTCTCTTACCAAATACTCCCTTAAATTATAAGCATTCCACTAATTTATAAGTTATTTTTACTAAATGCATCCATAATTATTTTGAAATAATTGTATTTTATACTAATAAAAAATAAAATATTGTCATGTTATCTCTTAAAACTTGTATGCAAGCAAAATAATAATAATAATTTCACACAGATTATGAAAATTAGTTAAATACTTTATCTTTTTACAGTTTCATATAAAAATGCACTACAATTTTTAAAATAGTATAGATAATATTCTCATTTATTATTTTAGGCATATTTTTGAAATAAGAATTTTGAATAAAATTGAATTTATTAAAATTTGTTTATATTTTGATTCAAGAATATATATAAGTTTAAAGAAAATATTTGATAATATCATTAAATTTGTTATGATTTGATTATAGTTTGTTATTTGCTAAACAGACCCTAGCCTATGAGTATAAGGCTATTGTACCTGTGCTAAGATGAGTTGTCACAATAGAAAAAAATTAATGACAGAGGTTTGATTATTTTAAAGTGAATGATTTATTTAAAAAATATAATAATTATTGTTAATTAAAAAATTAATAATGAAAAATTGTGATAAAAATAAATATTTATATAATAAAATTTAAATTTAATTATAATATTTATTATTAATTTTTTAATCAACAATGATTATTGTATATTATTCTCTAAAGTAAAATTTATTTACTTTAAACCAGTAAAATCCTTGATTTTGTCCGATCCTAGTGTGTAAATACTATATTAATGACATTGATATCAACATGTAGTTTTTTTGGGTGGACATGATTTTTTACCATCAATATATCTCATCAGGCCATAAACTGTGATATAAGGACGAAAAATTGGATGCATCATGCTGAATAATTATCTCCATCAAGTTTGATGTAAACTTGAGATCCATCATTAAGATCGACGAGTTTGTCATTTGGAGTAGAGAATGCTGATATTGGATAGAATATAGCAATTTCTGATATAGAAAAACTCTTGTTTGACGAGAATAGGATTGAAAGAAAGGAAAGAAAAGGAAAATAAATAAATAAATAAAGTGTTTCAAAACCCCTAAAATTTAGGGAGTACGATATAATTTCTCAAAAAAGTTTGGGTGAGTTGTATTTTATATATTTTTACTAATAAAAAAAAGTTTTGCGGAAACTTTTCTATATTTCGATTATTTTCTATTTTCTTTATAAATATGCTAATTAAAATGTTTAAGTAATTAAAAATATTTTTATCATTAACTGTCTGATTGTAATAAATTTGAAACAGTTGTAATCTATGATTAAGATGTTGTAATATCCTAGATTATTTTATTTTATTAATAATTTAAATTTTAACCTCTTAAAAAACCATTTATTCTAATATAATTATTTTCATTTCAATTACATCATTGTCCTTAGTTTAGTGGTTAAAGTAACACAAGGATGAAAATCTAAGTTCATTTTTATTATAATTTGTGACTATATTTGTAATATTTTTTATCTTTTAAAAAATATCATTTTAATTATTTAATTCATTATTTTTTATTTAAATTCTTATATTGATTGTTATAAATCTATAATTAGGTAAATAATTCCATTTATTGTCAAATTAGATTTTAAATATTTATTTTGACGTATTATTATTATTTTCTTTTATTACTTTTTTTCATTATTTTTTTACTTAAAGTTTTGCATGATCATAAAAGACATACTATTTATACTAAGGAAAAAAATCTATATACCCAGTTTTCTTCATTTCCACATTAATTTGTATGTTTTGGGCTTCCAGTGTTGTATGTTTTTCCAGTCATTAGCAAGAATAACATTGATCGGATTCTTGAGCATAAGAATTTTGAAATTATTGAAGTTCCGCACTACATGTATATTTATGAAGAAACCTTATGTGGTTGTAGTTTCCTTATAATACAGTTTATGTTTAAGGATGCATTCAGTTATGTTGTAATGTTTTAATTAATGGGTGTATTATTTTGTTTTGTATATTATTAGACATTATTAGTCATTTGTTTTGAGTTTAGGGTTTTGTATATATTTGTAGTTATACCTTATTAATTGCAGTCATTCATTGGCATAAAATAAGCAACACTTTTGAACAAATGTACAGTTAAACAATAAATGGTAACAATGAAAAGCAACATACACAATTTGAATAACAAGTTATATGAAGTTATGTAACACAATTAACAGAAAAATTCATTAGCACGGAATAAGTCAAATTATAATATAAGTAATTAATACGTGGTATAAAATTAACCATTTATAAATATTCAAATGCGCATTGATGTAGTAAATAAAGGATACTTATGATGAAAATTTGAACATTATTTATATAAATTTCATAATTCAAAAATTAAATTAATAAAATTTATACGACTGCAATTACGTACATGCGTTCCATCAAAATTATTAACATTTTAGAGGGTTTAAGTAATTATTACCTATTCCGTAGTAGATCCAGTGCCATGCCATTTTGTTGTAATGATGAATAGTTGATAAGTGACACGCTCGACGCTCGAGGTTCATTCGTGATCATGACGCCTGACAAAGATTCAGCAAATACTACCTTACTTCTGTTACAAGCATATGTATTGTTATAATATTAAATTAGAAAATTTTATATGAAAAAAAGTTTATGTTGGAAAATATTGATAATAGTTTAGGGTTTTAAAAATAATTTGTGATGAATGTTGTATTTATAAAATTGTTAATAATTTATATGATATTGTAAGAACAGTTAAAATACCTTTAGTTATTATATACATTTCATATTACCTATTAGGTTCGATGTTCAGCTGATAAGTAATGTGTAAAATATAAATGAACGGGGTACCATGTCAAAGTTAACAAAGTTCAGTCGAAAAAGCAAAGGGTTAACATTGAAAGACACATACAGAAAATGAAAAAAAAAACATGAATAAAGTTAACAGCAACAGTCCTTGTTACAAAGAGGAAATCGTGAATTAGTGATGGACGACCAGAAATGTTAAAAAATGTTAGGTATTAGGGTTGCTTTTGAAATTGGTTGACATTAATAAGTTATAATTGATATTCAATTGAAAATGGTTTCAAAAGAGGATTAGTAAAAGCTTACCGTACGAATTCATAATTTTTGGTCCACGTACAGGTAAATCTTGTTTTCTCCAACAACTTTATCAAAAAATAGATAGTCACCTGTACCCAACTCCTCCTTCTTTACAAATTCATACCAACCAGGACCGAAAAAAATTTGATTTTTGTAACACAATAATGTCCACTTCATTTTTGTACCACTTGGAAGTAGAACAATTTGAACAGTTTTAGGTCGATATTTGGCTCCAACAAACTCTTCCTTATAAATATTAGCGGGAATCGGCTAAAATATGGTAACATAACAAAATTAATAGATACAGTTTATTAAAAAAAAAACTTCAATTTATAAACGGTCATTTGCAACTTACCAGAGCTCCTTTTATATGACTTTTTTTGATGAAGGTTTCCCAACCTACAGTTTTGTTGTTGTCCCAGAGTGTTTGATATAGTTCAGCTTCCTCAGGTGGCATTGGAGCAGAAGGGATATAAGTAAAAAAGAAATGTTTTTACTAATATAACGGAAATGCGCCTTACAAGTTCCATGGGGACAAAATTTGTCTATACGATCTGCGATTCCATTAACCATAAACATTCTTTGCTTTCCATTATACATCATTTCCTCAATGTTTGTATCTATTATTTCGTTATCCCTATCATGCACAAAAACTTTCCGATTGTTTTGATCGCGAAAAAGTTCGTTGAAATAGTTAGGGAGTATAATCCGTCTCTTGAAAATGCATATACATAATTAATTAAAAAATATATGAAAACAATAATATAAATGTATCAACAAATAACAATAGTGATAATAATATTTATAAATACAAACCTGGACCTTCAGAAGTGTGAGATTAAATGAAATATCGTGCAAGTCAATTTTTGCCATGACTGGAAAAAATATATTGTATTTTGTCATGTAATTTGTTGTATCTTTATATTTATTTTCTTCATTTATTGTCGATTTGAATTTTTAATTTTAACGTTTATTCCAACATTTTTTTTATTCAATTGTTTTATTGGGTTATACATTTTTTTAATCTATCAACGTTCTCGTTCTAATTATTTTTATTTCACGTGTTTAATAAATACACATTATCATTAAAAAATTACACTATTAAATAATCAAAAATAAATATTAGTATTTGTGTTGGTTTTTTAGGCAAGCGCACCCAAGTCTCTGTAGTATAATTAAAAAGTTGTCGAACCTCAGGACTTGTGAAATAAGCTATGATTTCTATTATACTAATTGATGCTTATGAATTTAAAACTTGAGTAATTACACATGTTCAAATTTGATATGGATGATTGATCAAATTTAAGTAACAAAAGAATAATTTAATTTGAAGGAAAACAGATACGAGAAACAGTTGGGATTAGATTTCATCAATCTCCCTCCTATGCATTCCTATTAATTCTTTCAAAAGATTCCATTACTCATTGCCATTGAGTTCTCTAAATTCATTCAGACTCAATTCCTTGACATAAGAAATTCTAAGATATTTAACTCAATGAATGATTCCTCACTTCATCCAGTTAAATATCCCGCATTAAGAGTCAAAACTTGTTACAACTATTAATTTCAAGACCATCCCTGGCTCTCAAAACTAATAGGTGATTCATTCCAAGTCTAGGTTTAGAAAATGTTTTCCAACCAAATTCTAAACCCAAAATCATAGATAATTGATCAATTCATCAAAGCATTAAGAACAGAAACAAATCACTGACATAGTGTAATAGATGATATATATATATATATATATGAATCAAAGAGGAATACAAAGGAGTTCGACGATTACATCAATCCCAACCCTAGAGCTTAGCTCTCCATAATACAAGAAATCACCCAATAACAATATGAAAGGTAGAAGAATAAAGAAATCCTTTGAAGAATCGCGTCCCCACGAGCTCCAAAGTGCTCTGTTTCTCTCCTTTCTCTGTTCTCTCTCTTCGTACAGCTTCAGATGCCCCTTTTCTCTCTCCTCTGCCCTTATATATGTGATGGAATTAAAAACAGAGTAAGTAGGAAAGAGAAGGATCCGCTCAGCGCCTTGAAACGGCTGAGCGGTTTGAAGAATCCTTCACCATGAAGTAATCTAAAGGGTTGAGCCCCTTGGATCCTCTGAGCACCTAAGAGATCCTTCACTGCTAAGCAAGCATAAGGGGTTGGGCGCCTCAGATCCGCTGAGCGCCTAAGAGGCAGAGTGCATCTTTCTTCCAGGGCCAGATCCGCTGAGCTGATGGTAGTGGCTGAGCGCCTAGAAGGCAGAGAGCACTCCTTCTTCCAGGGCCAAATCCGTTGAGCGCCTTGGGGAGCGTCTCTCCTTTGCTGCATTTGTTGAGCTCTCTGGCTTGAATCCGCTCAACACTTTTCAATGGCTGAGCCATTTTCCTCCAGATTTCATAACCTACAAAATAAGCACAAAATTGGGTCAAAAGCTTCATCACTCCCTGTACTAACATAAATCAAAAGTCTCTCTCTGATTCTAAGTATATATAGACCAAAATTATATCAATATGTACAAAAATTGTGCTAGATAAGTGTCTCAAATGCATATTTAATCATATTAGTTAAACACTTATCAATTTGGTATAACTTTTAAAATAATTATTGTTTGAAAATAAACAGATAACCAATAAGTTGAATTTGAATGAGGATGTAAAACTTCTATAAAAAAAAATGAATAAATAAAATAAATCATTTAAAAGTTATTTCATTTATTTTTCAATGAAATTAAAAATTAAGGTTTACTTTTTCATTTGTTTAAATTTCTTTAATTACACGCGTTTAAATTTATTTAGTTTGTAATTGTCTCATACTAATTAGGAAAGAGAAGAAATAAGTCACTCAAAAATTATTTCAATTGTTTTAAAATTAAATTAAAAATTAAAATTTATTTTGTCACATATTTAAAAAAATTTTATTTGTAATTCTCTCATACTAACTAAGAAAGATAATACATATCAATGATAATTAATTATTGAATGATTTTGAAACTAACAAAATTAATATATGAGTATAATGGATGACTAATTTGTATAAAAAAGTTAAAAATTAAAGATTCAAAAGAAGAAGAAGAAAACATTTTAGAAACTTATCACCTCTATCATGTTTTAGGGGTAAATTGAGTGTTTTAAAATAAAAAAAAATTCGCATTTAACTCAACTTGCTTTTCTTTTTCCTTTTTTTAGGAAATGGCTTTTATGCAGATACAGAGGTCAATAACTGACATTTTCAATGCTACCGATAATTCACGGTTTCACGCTGCTTCCTGTGGTGCTCCAAGGGTCCGCTTTGTAAGGAAAAAAATGTATAAACATAAATGAATGAATGAAAACATGTGAAAAATAAAATAAAAAAATATTTAGTTTAATGTAAGTGAAAAATAAATAAAAAATAATTAATAGAACTCATATTTTTATTTATTTATTTTCTCTTGTGAAAGTGAGACACTCTGTGTCTCATTATAAAAAAAATAAAAATGATGAAATTAAGAAAATATGCAATTAACTTTAAAATAATGAGATAATTAAATAATTTCATTAAGAGATAAAAGGGTAAAAAAATGTAAACATCAAAATAAGACATCTTCTTTATTAATAATCAGTAGAGTCAAGGCACTATTTTAATATTTATTTTAAAAAATTAAGAACTATCAGTATTTATTGAATCAACATGTATTGATCTAATTTTTAAATCATAAGATCTTGGATTCATAAAAATAATTAACTTTTAATATTATTTTTATTATTTAAAATGTAAAAATAAAACAGTTTAAAAATTATATATACAAAAATAGATAATCGTTTTCTAAAAAAAATGGATTATCGTTTATATATATATATAGATATAGATATTAATTAAGTCATTCGAGTCATTTCTCTTTGATTAAATACATTTACTTTTTTATTTCTAGCTTGTCTCACTTTTTTCTTTCTTCACCAAACAAAGGATAAAGGGTCCTTCAACGTGAAAGAAAAGCTATTTTATTTGGCGCCCATTAAAACTTCACTCCAAACCATTTTGTTAATCTGTTGCGGATGTTAAATGCCATTTCTTTTTTCCTTTTTTTTTTCTCGAATGAAAGAAATGTTTCATTTTCCATTTCGGTCACAGAAAATCGTAAGAAATAGTCTCCCAACATTAATAGCGACTCCTCCCCTTTCTGTATATCCCATACGAGATTATCTTTGAATTTTATTTAAATTAGTGATTTTTTCACATGAATCGAATTTCAAAAAGTCATCAAAGAAATAAATCTAATATATATGATGATAAGTCTATCATGGACCATGGCTATAAGATATATATGGTTCGATCCAAAATCGGGACACAATCCTTTAGTCTCGAGCAAAAAGGCAAACGAGGTTTACAAGAACATATGATTTAAAAATATGTTTTTGTCTTAATAAAATAAAATTAAACATTTTAAAATCACTTTTCAACAAATTTATTTTAAATAAAAACCTATTATTATAATCCATTATTACAATAATTAATTATACACATTGATTATTGAAACAATCTAATTTTTGTAACTTTTCAAACACACTTTGTATCTAAATTAGTCTTAATCACATTTTTTTACTGAAATATATGAGTGACACAACTTGTAACCAAATAAGTACATAATCTCCAAAAACAGTCCTTTCCATATTACCAAAAGCCAAAAAGAGGCAAAAGAGGGCATGTTAGAACTTAGAACAGTTTGTTCATTTGGGTAACTCTCCCAATTTCTTGAAAAACAAAGAAGCAATCCACGATTTTGCACTTATCTGGTCAGGCCGAATATCGTTCCATGGCAGCCATTGTCTGAGAGCTGAAATAGTTAAAGGAAATTATTTCCTACCATTTTATCTCAAAAGGAAAGATTTGCATGCTCCAATCCTTATTATTAGTTAGAATCAAACAGGTTGTTGAGTACAATCGATAATAAGACACCATCCCATAGGAAAATTTAAAAGAAACAACAATGCCTCTCCTCTTCTTTCACTGTTTCCGGAGATACAAACAATCAGGAGTGAGAACTTGGAGGGTTGGCTCTATCAAGTTAGGTATACAGAATCTATCACTCCAAAACCAGGCAAAACTCCACCTTCATAAGATGATGATATTTTTGTACGCACCATATAGCCACATTCGTTATTAATGATAACCTTATCCTTATTCCTGCAAATTCCAGTCCATGCATGTTAAGGGTATTGAAAATTTTAAGCACGGAAATGTGATAGATATGTAGCCAAGTAATGTACCTTAAATAAGTACCAAATATTCCAACTTCTGTAATGACATGACCCGTATCCCAATTACCATTACGCACCAAAATTGCTGGAGAAGAGGCTGGAAATATCCTCTGCATAAGGATGTAAGCTGCATCTTCTCGAGAGCCTGATTCCTGTAATTTAAGGAGGGTTTCCCGCAAAGCATCACCATAAATATTGTTTCCTGAAAAGTAATTACAGGTTATTATGTAAGTTTCTCTCCCCCTTTTTGTTTTCAATTAAATGTTGAATCAAAGTTTAAGTGGTATAAGACCTCCTCCTTCTCTTTGGGGCTTCAGCACAAATAACTCTGGATTTTCAATTGCTTTCTTAACAATATCCGAGTCTTCCAAACTCCACAATCCTGCAAAGCATGCACGTAATTTGGCAATGTGGTCTTTGTTTTCAATGAACCTGCTTACAGTTTTTGAATCAAGGATTTAGGAAGAGATATCATATCAATCAGAGGACAAAATGCACAAATTAGTCATAGAACAACTTATTTCCTAAGATAAAAATGCAAAGGGGTTGCGGGGGGGCGTTATACTTTTGCTTCCAAACTAGCTTTAAAAGCAATGAAACGTAAAGGATGAAATAAACTTGGAACATATGAGAATATTAATTAGAATACACCTCTCAAGAACACCAGGATTTGCAAGTTCCTGTTGAATCTTTTTGGTGCCAACCAAATGATAAGATATTGGGGGGCATTTGATAGCAGAAGATTGTTCCATCAGTAGTCTAGCTCTCCATTCCTACACATCGAGAAAGATATACCCAAACCATGAGAACTCATGGTCAAGATAGAAGGCTCATTTAAAAAATGATGCAACTTGAGCAGGTAACATATTATGGTTGAAAACAATTCTTGTTAGATGATATTCCATGGAATAGCAAGGACAAGGTAAGTAAGAAGATAAGTAAATTAGATCTCATTAGTTTAAGAAATAATTATGCAAAGTTTACAAAATGTAAATTAATAGTGAAAGTCTATACACAATGATGTAATGAAAACAAGAAGCCATGTTATACTAACCAATCTCCAATTGATTTTGCTTTTGAAACACATTTTTTTAGAACCAAACTATTCAATGTTACTTATCTTCATAACATTAAAAGATGTTTGGTTACCAGTTAGGGGAGTCAAATATTAATTGGCAGTACAATACCATTTACTAACGGTAGAGAGATATTCTTTTAGCCACAGAGGTCATACTGGTTTCAGTGGGTTAACCTTTACTAAATTACTAGTGATTCAAGAAGGATTTTAAGTCAAAAGAAAACAAAAGAGATGTTTCTATGTTGGAAAGCAAGCTTTTATGAGCAGAAAAAAAACTGAATTCAAGTAGCTCACTGATTCTGAAGGATAGTCATTTGGTGTGTAGCCAGCCCGGAGGTAAACAACTGCAATTACATGTCCGTCCCTGCAAGTGCCAAGAAATCATATTTCTCTACCGTCAGAAACAAAATGTAATTAAGCCACAAGCCTATAGCAGAAAGTCATTTTTTCAAGACATAGGCTACATACACAGAAAGTGTTCCATCTGGCAGAATTTCCCCTTGCTGATCAACTTCTGCCAACGTTTTTCGTATGGATTTCACATGATGCGTATTATAAAGTTAAGGATAATAATAATATCTCTTAACAATCCAAATATGTACTGAATATTAAAACTAGATGAAAACAGTAAATTTTTGTTCCTTTGGTATCATAATATAACTAATAAGAAAAGGATATTTTTCTTTTAGAATTGCGGAAATAGTATGCTGCTCGTACATGTTTCTTTCTACAACCTGAACTACGGCCAGAACTACAGCCCTGTACATCAGAAATATGTTATGGAATCAAAAGTAGTCGCAGAACTGCAAAAGAAAGTGAAAAGGAAACTTCATTCTCCAAACTGACCTGGGGTTGTTAAACTCGTTCCAAGCTTTAGCCAAGGCCTCGGCAGACTTATCAGCAGCATTATTGGAAGGAACCCTTTCGGAATCTAGCCCAAGGTGCTTTCCATAATCAGAAAGCAAACTCCTGGATAAAGACCAAATAGTATCATCATACACATCTACATAATAAATTTTCCCTAAAATGAAAATATACCCTCAGAGTTCATGTGAATAATTTCAACATGGATAAGTCATACATTAATATCTAAGCAACTGTTTTATGATCTCCAAATAATCTTTGATTTATAACCACTTAATAACTTCAAATGTATTATTGAGCATGAAAAATTAGACATTGCGATTGCGCAATGAACAAAGACCTTAAAAACATTATTAAGAGATTATAAACTAGAGATGACACCACAATATGTGAAATTTCAGCAACACTCACCTATGAAGTCCAGTCAGAAGACAACCATTAACAGCAAATGCAGTGGAAACAGTGTTCATCTCTATTTGCAAGAGTGATTTAGTCTTTTCATCAATCATATAATCTGAACGCATTATTCCCAGGCGTATCTCCTATTAAAATCATGGCAAGAGAAAAGTCAATATCAGTAAAAATTCCTTTGACTCACTTTATCATAAAAAAAGAATATGTAGATGCAGAAAACTTTAAATCTTTGCCTTCAATCTTTTGCTGGAATAAAGATAATACGTAGGATTTCTGTATAAAGTTTTGTTAAAAACAAACATGCAATTATGTTCTAAATTACTTCCATTCTGTCCCTCACTCCCTCACAACTAAAATACAAACATAAATAGTTCTTGTATAATGATATTTGAAAAAATAACAACTAGAGTAAGCACTCAACTGATACTCTATTAATACTCTCAACCGTACAAATGTCCTACAAATATAGTAATATACACTTACCTCTTTTTTGTTAATTTGTAGCATCTTGGAATGGATATCTAAAAGTCTTGAGGTAAATTCGTCCGCTTCCTTAGTTCTGCATTGAGATGAACAGAGAAATATAATGTCTAATTAAAGGCGTAAACTATATTGAGTTTTAAAAAAAATCTAGGAAGCTAAAGGTAATAACACAATGCATATGACAGAACAAAAGATTCCTAGCAAATGTATGTGCTCATAGCATCAAAATGCAAGCAATTGTTGAAATGTGATGTTGAAAAATGGATTCAAGAACCAATCAATATAGTAAAGTATGTTGAAGTATTAGGGAAGGAACAAGTCCTACATTGCTCGTGTGAAGAGCTATTTTAAAGGTTATGTAAGTAGTTACAATTACAACTAATTAAGAAAAAGATTGAGAGAATTGGGTTTGTGTAGATTAGTTTGGGCAAAGGGTTAAAATTTGGTCCCATAATGTTAATCTTTGATGTAAAGTATATGTTTTTTAATGACCTGTGTACTTAATTATATTTTTTGTCTCCTAAATATCACAATTATACACTTTCAGTCTCTAGTTTTAATTGCACAAATTGCTTTCAAGTATCGCAATTGATTTTAGTTCCTTTACTGGTCTTTGCATTCTGTTGAAAATTTGACAAATTTTGCTGCCTGTTGCCAAACATGTATTTTAATGCGACTAAATTATAGTTCTGTCTCTCACAATTGCCATACTAAGAGACTAAAAGTGTAATCTAGTCTTGTTGGCATATGACACGTAGCTGCCATTAAAATACATGTCATTATTCGTGCCACGTCAATAAAACCTACTAAATATTTAACAACAATTACGTGCCAAAACTATAATTAAGTGATAATATAAAAGACGAAAATATTACCTGGAGAGAGATTCCTGGAGAAATTTTGCATCCAGACTGACCCGATCAACAAGGTCATTAAATATAGGAGCTAATTCGCACGCTTGCTTCCAATAACTTTCAGGAAATGGCGAGGGTAATAAGGAAAGTGGGAGATGCACCAAGCCCACACCAGGAACGGTTCCAGATCTCTATCATTCCAAACATTCATCGTCAACATCAAATTATAAGCACCACATTAGTTTCTAAAATTGCCAAATGATCACTTTAGTCCTTTAAATCATAACATGCAAAGATTAAAATGATATTCTTATAATTTTAATTAAACTACTCAGTAATGATAATTCCAAGGACTACTCCTGCAAAACAGAAATTGGTAAGAAATAAGTTTAGCTTCAAGGAGTAGTCTTTTGTCTCCACAAAAAGTAAAAATAAGAACAGAGTATCTTAAATGAAACATGGGAACTAATCATATTGTCTAAATAATTATCATTATTTTCAGCTGCTAACTTTTATTGGTTTACGATTTTATCACATAGAAAAATGTTATTAAGTATGGAAAGCTATAAATAAGCGAAGGAAAGAAAAGAAAGAGTGAAGAATTTGACCTGAACAGATCTGTCACCAACGAGGAGGCAGTTGAGGGTGCTCCAAACAAGAGCATCGTTAACGATGTTTTGGAGCAGTTTTTTGTCAATACGATGATAATCGAAGAGGGGAGGCGCTGCGGAAGAATCCTCAGCATCCTCAACAGTTGCAGAGTTTAGGGTCACGGGTTGAGACATGAGTTTAAGAGGTTTAGGGAAGGAGAGAGAGAAAGAGAGTGATTGTGGTTGGTGGCGAAAAGTGGAGGGGAGAGAGGGAAAGGAGGTGAAAACGCACAGGCCCCTAGTGCCACAACAAAATAAGGAACTTGTTCCACATCTACCACCCATTCTCATGTTTTTCACTCTCCTTTTATATTCTTATATCATACTGCAATCATCACTTCAGCCACTCGTAGTGCTCCAGTTTTTGTATGGATAAAGTCACCTCCATTGTGAATTTTTTATTTTCCACAACAAAAAGAGAAGATTATTATGGTTTATCTGTTCAAAATTATATATATATAAATAGGAGGAAAAGTTATATTTGGGTTGATAAACTGTTGCTCGATCAGAACATTGCATCTTAAAAAGTAGTTAAAATTGAGGAAAAGGATGGTTCTTAATTTCTTAAATTATAATATTTGGAATAGTTTATCAGTAAAAAAATATATAAATAGAAAAAGTTAAATTTGGATCGATAACTGTTGCTCGACCATTTGAACAAGACATCTTAAAAATAGTTAAAATTGAGGGGTTTGACGTCCAATGACGAGTTTGCAATATCCTTGGAGAATTCAGCATAAGCAGATGAGATTATAGATAGAAGATAATAAAACATTTGTGAGGAGAACAGACACATAAGAAGAAAAGGACTGAAATATCATTCTGTGATGCGATAGAATTTAGATTCAGTACGAAGATAAATGGCTGTATCGTACAGCTTGCTTTACGATTAATTGTTGCATAAGAACCAGACACATTTACATTCTAAAAGTCTAATTTGATGAGAACATTTTCAAATGTTCCGATTTGTCCGATGCATTAATTTTACGTCGAAGGGTACGATGTGATAACCAAGGCAAAAACAAAGAGATAAAGAACCGTTCCTTTATAAATAAAATCTCACATGATTATGACATGAAAATAAATAAAAATTTATAAAATATATATAGTTTTCATTAGAATGAGTTTTTTTTTTAAGATGATAAAAATAAAATTGTGAGAATTTAAATTTAAAATAGATAATATTATATTAATATGAAAATATATGTGTGAATTTCAAGTGTCCAATAATAATATCAGAATTAATGATATATTAGGTAATCGACTTAAAATCTTGAACAAATATTTAGTAATGAGAAGCGATAAAATTCACGACGATGTAAGTATTTAAAATTGGACAAGTGTGACCAAAGTTCTAAGGACTTTATTGAATACTCTTATATGGAGAAAAAAAAAGTTGTTTAAAGAGATACTTGTTGGAGTATAAACAAAGTTCTACATCATTAGATCACGAAGATAATAAAGGTTTATAAAATACACATAATTCCCATTAATATAAAACTTGTTGAAAAATGATCAAAAGTAGAATCGTGAAAATTTAAATCCAAAGTAAATAATATCATACAAATATATAAACATATGTATGTACTCCAAGTGCCCAACATGAAAAATGTCATACATGCAATATTTTAAAAACTAAATCAATTATCAAAATATTGAGTTAATGAGCTAAATGACGTATCAGCGAATCACTAATTGAATTACATGACTCAATTATTATTATTATTTAAAAAAAATATTATTTTATATATATTTTATACTTATAAATCATTCCAAAAAAAAATTATTGTCAATATAATATTGATAGAATAATTAAATTATTGGTTGATTAAATTATGTAAATTAATATATAATTTTAAATTAAAATATATGTTATATAAATTAAGTAAATTGAATAATCAAACACTAGTGAAAAAAACACTTTTAAAATTGGTCATTTTTTACTTTTAAAATCAGTTCTCTGACCGATTTTAAAAGAGCCGATTTTAACATCAATCATGGCATGACCGATGTTAAAAGTGGTTAAATTTTTTTAAATATTTGACTTATTTTATGAGAATCCCTGAACAAAACTTGCAAATTAATAAAATATCAGACAATTCATACGTTTTAATATACCAAATTACATACAAATGACAAAAGTTGGTAAATGTCAACCATATGTGTAATCAAAGTAACTTACAAATTATGATACATCCTAAACTACAAATTGAGTAAAACTATAAACATAACTCATAGCTAGCTAATGTTTCAATGAAAAATGTAGCTCATTGCTCCCTAATGGTGTTTATATCTTCTAGCGACAATGATGATCGATCTATAAATATCTGTTAAGAAAAATTAGAACAATTAGAAGTAACTCTTAAAACATGATAAAATACAAACTTAAAATAAAAAAATTTTAAAATTCTAAAACGTGCTTCAGTCCAATTTTAGCTTTCCTGGCCTTTTATAACTGTATCTGTTGCCCGATATTGGTCTCCAAAAGCATGTCTTCCAATGCATATTGGCATTCGCGGGGACCACACACTTGCCTCAACCCTACTGTTTTCTACCATATTATTATATTATTAGTACTTTTTAATCAAATTATCATAATTACATTTTCTCAAATACTCATTATAAAATTCAATAATTTATAGTAAATTATATTTTATAACAAGACGAAACTATAAATGTCTTTTTATATATTCAAACTAAATTCATTTTTCATATTTGTTTCTTTATTTATTTTTCTCTTGCATTTAAAATATTTTCCTTTTTTGTTTTGGTTGTTACCTAAAAGAGATTCATATACAGCGGTTTTTCTGTCTTTTGCTTTGATTCTCCGCTTCCTACTCTGGAGGTGGGACCTTCCCTCCCACCCCATTCTTCTTCCTTTTAAATTTTAATGATTTCATTATCAAAAAATAAAACGACCCAACGATTAAGCAAAATAGCATTTCATTCTATTTTTGCTTTAATTACCTCTTAATAAAATATAAGGTGGAACATATGAATTGTATCCTTACCAAGCTGGATCCAATTCAATGATTTTGCTGAGTAAAGGAAATCATACCAGTTCCACTAGCCTCACGGATCTCCACTTCTCTCCATTCTTGCATAAGGGCACAACAGCAACACATCAAATGAGAAAGAAAATCATCAATAAAGCCCCCCTGCCATAGAATGTCAATAACTAATGAAACATAAAACATACCAGAAAATGAAAAAAACCAAAAAAAAAAAAAGTCTCCATATAACACTAAATTCCAAAGATAACTCAAACCTTAACATTTATATATTTGTAAGTCGCCTTGAAAATTGGACAATCAGGATCCATTTAAACCATATCAGAGTCGGTATAAATTTCCACAAGCCAAGAAACAACAAGTAAAAATACTGAATAGTTGAATACATGAGAGTCTAGATATATTAGCCAATAGCCCCCAGACACGTTTACTAAAATAGTGTTTTAAGTATATCCTCTGAACAATAAGAATAAACCTTTCATCATAGAATAAAAAATTATGTGAAAAGAAGGAAGCATTACCCTGATGTTGAACATCTTCCGAAGCTTCCTCCTTATGCAGCAAGTATAGCAACAGCAAGATAAATTATTGAATATGCCATCAATTCATTATATACTTCCGCAGAAGCTGAAAAACCACAAATTTGAAATTTAGCAACACGGCCTCAATATAAGAAAGTGACAAAAATCAATTAGGCCAGAGCTGTAGCTATTATGATATCTTAAGAATGGTGAGACTTCGTTACTGTTAAAATCAAAGATACATTACCCTCTTCAGTCTTAATTATATAAGAAAGTGTAGACAGGGCTTGCTTCAGTTAATTTGATGAAGTCAAGATTTTCTATTTTATCACTTAAGGTTCAAGCGAAGTCATAGCAACCAAAAAGACATTCTTCAAAGGTGAAAATTATAAACTGAATGTGCATAATGTTATGATCTTATTATCCACTTAAGTAAAATTCTAGCCTTGTTAGCGACAGAGTGAAACAGAATTCAAATAGAGATTCATCACTTTGATGCTAACAACACATTATAGCTCACTTACATATTGGCCTGTTAGTTGCAACAGTAGAAATATTTGACAGTGTCCCACAAGGATAGAAGCATGTCTTTATACCTGCAAATCAAATTGTCCACTTAAGAAGAAAAGCACAACATGATTGGAGGACTCTGTTAAGAAGAAGTACACTCCATGTACTTCTCCGGAGTATGATCCGGGGACTTCCCGGAAAAGAAATGCGGCACTGCTTGCCTCTCCAACCTATGCACAGTGGCAGGCGAAAACCAATCTGTTCACAGAATGTTAGAAACCCCAAACATCAATTCAAACTATCCAAAGCTGAAACACGAAACTGAAGCCAAACAAACACGAGATAGAAACTGAATTCACCTGAATGCATTGGAACAACAAGAGCCTTAGCTCCGAAGCGCTTAACGACGCCGCGACCCTCCAACATGGGAGGGGGAGTGATGACATAAGAGGGATCACCGTCGAGAGCGAAGTTGTCAGCTGGCACAGACGACAGCGCTTGGAGCTGGCCGTGAGACACGTTCTCGAGATCGGAGGAGTGATTGCGCTATGAGCCTTGCTGTCTCCAGACTCGAGTGCACGCTCCAGAGCAACGATTGCGGCGACGGAGGAGTGAGGGCGGTTGACGGTGCGCTTTATCACCGACGGGAACTGCGAAATCTGGACGGCGTTGTCGGAGAGAACCTCCGTCTCGAGGTGCGGTTGGGAATTTGGGTGGTGGTGCGTTTGTTCCTTGGAATCGTAGTCGCGTTCGGCGTGGTCTTCCTCGGCATTGGGGTTTTCCTCGTCGTCGTCGTCCTCCTCGTCGTGCTTGTGGTGGCGCCGGCCGATTTGGGAATCGCGCTTGCGCTTGCGCCATTTGGTTCGGTTCTCTGCGAAAAACAAAATTGAGAAGAGAAATGAGGGTTAGGGTTTGGTGGATGGGGGAGAGGGATTGGGAGTGGAGGTGGCGGCAGGGCTTACGTTGGTGATGAGTGAAAGAAAGTGGACTTTTAAAATCGCCTGCTATGAGCCGATTTTAAAAGCGGACTCATTTTTTATATCGGTTATTCAAGAGCCAATTTTAAAAGTTTTATTTTTAAAATTGGCGTCAAAAACTTTTAAAATAGATCATAACGTAGTCGATTTTAAAAATAATGTTATTATTTATAAAATTATTATGGCATCACTTTTAAAATCTGCTATCTCATAACCGATTTTAAAACCCCAATTTTAAAAGTCATTTTTGTACTAATGAAAGTACGGTTTAGTGCTATTGTTGATATTTAGTTTTAAATGACATACATACATGTATATATATATATATATATTGTGATATGTGATATTAAAATGTTTGCTGTAGTGGTTGA